AACAGTACTGTACAAATCTAAGTGCCAAGCACTGATTATGTGGGACTAATTGATATGCAGCAAGATGGGAGCTTTAGCAATAAGTTATGAATCCATTGGAGGACAATCCATAGTGCAAATGTTTTAAAATACTCTACCCTAACACTTAGAAAAAAGGAGTACCATCAAATTTCAATCTTTCCCAATTTACTTCTTTTCTGTCATGCTTTTCTTACTTTCCAGTAATTCAGTATTAGCTTTCCGGACAATTTAGTATTCCTCCATATAAGATCTATAAGAGCCAGGTAAAACAGTTTCATACTTATGTGCAATTATTAGAAGTTTCTTGTGACTTCTTTCTCTACTTTTTGTATAAGACTTTTGATTTTACATCCACCTTAATTTTACCTCACATCAACAATTGAACATCAACCATGCAACGCATCATCAGTAGAAACAAGACCCAAAATAGCCACTCCTTTATCAGATGCAAGTGTAAACCAACATTAAGACTCATCTATTACCACAGACACTTCTAGCACTGAACTACAGCTTCCACAAATCAGTATATTAACCTGCAGATCAATTCTCTCCTCAATTACATAGCCAGTCAATCACATTTTCCCTAAAGTCAAAGATTCTTTGAGATAAGGTATAAAATGAGGACACTAAGCTGCTTAATCAAAATAAGAAAAAATTCCATCTTTGAGCAATTAACCCATTATAGTGATGATTACCAATTACACGACGGAGGCAGAGGGAAGGAAATCAAAAAGACCTTGTGTGTTTGGTATGACTGGAAATGTTTTCCTCAATGAAGTTGTTCTCAATGAATATGGAAAAAAGTGATTTACGCAACTTATGCCACTTAAGTCATTTTGTTTACAAAAATCCAAACTTTCATTCAGTTGCGCTTATTCCAAACAATGTTTAGACATTGATCATTTCAAAATTTTCAAGTATAGTACTCCCCTGGTTTCAGTTTATGTGAACCTATTACTATTTGAGGAATCAAACAAGGTTTTCTTTGACCATGTTTTTTGCAAATACTTTTAAAAAAAAATTGAATTGCTAACTACTGTGACTTATATAGTACTATTTATGTAGTTACTAAATATGTAAATTTATTTCAAAAATTGAAAATACAATGTCCGAGTTCACACCGAAAATTAGTACATTTTAACCCTCATACTCCGAAAAGGTTTACATAAACCGAAACAGAGGAAGTAACATCTTAAGGTATTCCCAATTTTTGCAACAAAAGGCATTAAGATCAAACTAGTTTCAAACTAATTGGAAATTAAAAAAAAAAAACTCTACTTATCAATACTCAATCTCCGCTCTGCATTTATTCAAGCAATTTCTATAATCACTCAGCAAAATGAACAAAAAATCCCAAACATGGAAGTTGGAAGCAAGTAACTGGAACTAAAATTGTTACAAATATAGCAAACATACCGGTAATCGATAGCGGCAGGACCTTGAGTTGCATCTGGGAGAGGAGACGAGCGCGAGCAATAGCTTCTAGAAAGTTCTGAGAGAAACGATTTGGAAATAGTAACCGAAGGTTCTAGAAGATATTTATTATGAGTAGAAGAAGAAGACGATCTTCGTATTATTGAAGAAGAGGGAGATGGTGAGGAATTAGGCTTGAGAGCTCTGCAAAGCGGNAGAAACGATCTTCGTATTATTGAAGAAGAGGGAGATGGTGAGGAATTAGGCTTGAGAGCTCTGCAAAGCGGTTTTCGAAGTAGAAGCAGCTTTTTGGAAGAAGAAGAAGAAGCCATTTTTGCACCTTAGGACAGTTTCGACTTCGCCGTTCGAGTTATTTTAGAGAGGCTGCCAACTGGGCCAAACTCATACATTAAGCCCATCATAATAAAAACCCTTCCATGTTCGAATTGGACATGGGTAGAATGACACGAATATGATCATTTGGTGCCACTATTTAAATTTTGGCCCCAGTAAAACAAGTCTTGTGAGAATAAGGTCAGAATTTTGAAGCATGTTAGTTAGAGATCTTTGAGCAAGTCTTATGGTAATTCGTCATAATCCTGGCGGTTGCCATAATTTTGCAAGTTATGGTGATCGTCATACAATTTTGACGATTGCCATATATTTTTATAATTGGCTACAAAATTTTGATCGATCACCAGAATTTTATATTATGGTTGAAATGCTTGTGATCATAGGTGCTTTGAAATTCTAACCAGCATGATTTAAAATTTTGAAATGGGGCTGTTCTTACAAAAAATTTCTTAACGGGGCCAAAATATAACAGTAATTTAAAAAAAGTCCATCCAACGTTATTTCTTGTTGGACATGAACTCATTCTACAATAAAACTTGAATTCAAAATCTCTTAGTTATAGTATCAGTATTATACTCGCTTCTAATATTTACACCAAATAATTATAATTTTATCATGATTAAGTTAGAAATTAATGTGAGAATATATTGCATTAATATGTACGGGTAAATCGGGGATAAAGTTACCCCCAATTTCCGGATGAAAAAATGATGGATAACGTGATTCGACACTAGCTCAGGTAAGGCCGAGGGTGCCCACTGATCAGAGCCCGGGGGCGGATGAATGATATGTCGGGAATCGAGCATGGCCAAACATTGGATCAAGCTCGAGTGGAACGAAGAATTGAGGTTAAGGAAATACGGTTAAAGAAGACGAATGAGGAGCCGAAATATCCTCCATCAGCCGAATTTTGCTGTACGGATCATGCTCGATATTAACTACAATCACGTTTTCTTGGGGGAAAAGGAAAGAGATAATTTTTACCTTATCTAAACTTGTACTAGGGTTGAAATTCCCCTACTATATAAAAGGGAGAACCTTTTATTTTTTGGGTCATTGTTGGCAGGCTTAATTGCTTCGTCACACTTGGTTTAATCGTTTTATTTTCCTTTAATTGGATTACTTGTTGTTCATTGATTAATCATGTTAAATTAAATTATGAATCCTTTAAACCGTGTATAAATTTAATTGTTACTCATTTTAAGGGAAAACAGTTTGGCGCCCACCGTGGGGAAAAGGATAATAATGGTGATTTACTACAAATCTTTGTAACACAATCTATTTTACGCTTGTTCTTTGAAGTTTGGTTTCAGGATTGTTCAATATGCCAAATTCCCAATCTACTCACTTGAGTGTTGATACCGAGTCAAGCCACCACCAGTGAAAATAACAACGTGGTGCCAAGCAATGGCATACCCCATGTCGACTCTAATGATGTTTCAGTTGTTGATCCAGTCGATACCAATTCACTAGTTTCTATCAACATCAACCTACCGACTGATCCCAATAACAGCATTTACGGAGCACCCCGACTATCAATTCGAGAGGCACCTGAAGGGTGAGGTGATGAAGTTAGATTACATTTGATTTTTGAGATGTTGCAAGCTCAGCAAGTTGCTATTGCTCAATTGCAGAGTTAAAATCATGCACACAACGCGGCCGAACTGAACGGGTTGGAGAAGATAATCGGAGAGAAGAACGGATGGTCACAGAACCTAATAGGTCCAGGCCCGGGGAAACTTCCGAGGTGATGGAAATGCTTGAAGCATTGACAACACGAGGAATCCGGTGAAAAGAAGATAGAGGCAAATGACAAGAAGGTGGAAACCTACAATTCAAGGGGCGATCAGATTCTGAGAGCGCTTCCGATATTGAAGGGACCAGATTCTAAAAAGTTAATTCAGAAACCTTTCCCCCCAAGTGCGAAATCAAATCCAGTTCCAAAAAGGTTTCAAATGCCCGATATTCCTAAGTACAACGGAACCACAGAACCAAACGAGCATGTGACCTCCTATAGGTGTGCGATAAAAGGCAACGACCTCGAGGATGATGAGATCAAGTCGGTATTGCTAAAGGAATTCGGGAAACCCTTGTCCAAAGGATCAATGATATGGGACCATAACTTACCTCCAAATTCTATTGATTCATTTGCTATGCTAGCAGATGCCTTTGTTAAAGCCCATGCTGGAACTATTAAAGTTGAAACGAGGAAATAGGACTTGTTCAAAGTCAAGCAAAGGGACAACAAGATGGCTAGGGAATTCGTGTTGAGGTTCCAGATGGAATGGATGGACCTGCACCCGATTGCAGACGATTGGATCATTCAGGCATTTACTCAAAGAATCAACCCCTGAAGTTCGGTTGATTCTCAACAATTAAAGTAAAACTTGGTAGAGTACCCTGCGGCTACCTGGCTGATATCCACAACAGGTACCAGTCAAAGATCAAAGTCAAGGACGACCAATTAGGAGCTTCGTCGAGGTCAGTTTATCCAAATATAGTAAACGACAAGTCTAAAAGAATTATGGATCAGGAGTCGAGGCCACCCCGAGACTGATACCAGCCATACAACTCGGATACAAGGGGAAACAGGTCCAATCGCTACCCGGCCAAAAATGATAGGTGAGGTGACTAGGATCCAAGCAACCCAGGTTTGGTGAATAAAAATGGTTTCGACAGATCACTGGGGGTCGGAGATTCCCCGAGATATCAGAATACAACTTCAACGTGGATGCAACAAGTATAGTGTTAGCCATCGGTCGCATTGGGCTGATTTATTTCTATGTCATCAGATAAGAGCCACCGATTTTTCTCGTTACTAAAGAAAAAGAACGACTTTCTTAGACCCCGAAATGCCAAAAGGCTTTAGAAGAACTCAAACGATACATATCAAGTCCTCCTTTGTTGCATACCTTGAAAGCGAACGAGCAGTTATACCTTTACTTGGCAGTCTCTGAAGTAGCGGTAAGTGGTGTCCTGGTTCAGGAAGAAGAAGGTATGCAGTTTCCTATCTATTATGTTAGTATAACCCTAGAGAAATTAGCGCTTTTCTTGTTAAGTGCATCTAGGAAACTAAAACCATACTTTCCAATGTCACCATATATATGTCGTGACCTCGTATCTGCTAAGGAATGTTATGCATAAACTCGAGCTCTTAGGACGGCTAGAAAAATGGGTCGTAGAGGTTAGCGAGTGTGATATTGAGTACAAACCCCGAACAACTATAAAGTCTTGGATTTTGGCAAACTTCGTGGCCGATTTCATACTGGACTTGATCCTCGAGGTCGATAAAGATTTATTTCTTGCCTCGAGGACTAGCTTGGGGATCTGGACCCTATTCACGAATAGCACTTCCAACGCAAAATGGTCTGGATTAGGAATCATATCAAAACTACCCACGGGTAATATAATAAGACAATCTATAAGAACTATAAAATTGACTAACAATGAAGTCAAATATGAGGTGATGATTGCAAGTCTAGAGTTGGCTAAAACTTGGGGGATAAGGTAATTGAAACCAAGTGAGACTCCCTCTTTATCGTTAACCAAGTTAACGGGATGTTCGAAGTCAAAGAAGACCAGATGCGGATCGGTTCAGAGAATGGACATTAAAACATGTGCCTCGAGATCAGAATAGCGAGGTCGATGCTTTGGCTAACTTGGGATCGTCAGTCGACTCCAATGAATTTAACTCGGAACAGTGGTGCAATTAAAGAGTTTAGTGATAGATGATTACAAGGTAAACTCAACGAGTTTGACATGAGATTGGAGAAACAAGTACATGGACTACCTTCAGAAGGGGAAATTTCCATAGGATCCCAAAGAATCAAGGGCCCTTCGAACTAAGGCTGTCAGGTTTAGCTTAGTTGAAGGAAAGCTGTACACAAGATTGTTTTTTGGACCGTTAGCAAGGTGCTTGGGGCCTGGGGAGACCGATTACGTGATGAGGAAAGTCCATGGGGTACTTGTAGAAACCATTCGTGAGCGGAATCGTTGGTTTAGAAGTTGATCAAGGTCGAATATTACTGGAACAAAATGGAAAAGGATACGAAAGACTTTGTTCAAAAGTGTAACGAATGTCAAAGGCATGACCTGATTATCTACCAACCGAGAGAGTTGCTTCACCCGATCCTTTTCCCTTGGTCGTTCATGAAATGGGGAATGGACATTTTAGGTCATTTACCATGGGCACCTGGTAAGGCGTAGTACATCTTGCTTATGACCGATTACTTCTCTAAGTAGGTTGAAGCAAAGGCATTTGAGAAAGTTAGAGAAAATGAGGTCATCGACTTCATCTAGGATCATGTTACATGGTAGTTTGGGATACCGACCGAGATCACGTGTGATAATGGAAGACAGTTCATTGGCAACAAGGTAAATAAGTTCTTCGAAGACCACAAAATTAAAAAGATTCTATCTACCCCTTATAACTCGAGTGTGAACGGTCAAGCGGAGTCAACAAACAAAACTATACTACAGAACCTGAAGAAGAGATTGACCAACTCAAAATGGAAGTGGAAAGAAATTTTGCCCGGGGTCCTATGGGCATATCGAACAACTTTGAGGTCGAGTATTGGTGAAACACCGTTCTCTATAGTCTATGGTGCAGAGGCTTTGATTTCGGTAGAGGTGGGAGAATCAAGATTAAGGTTCCAATATGTTATAGAGACATTGAATGACGAGGCTATGGCCACAAGTCTAAATTCAGCAAACGAAAGGTGAGAAGCTGCCCTAGTCCAGTTAGCAACTCAAAAGCAGCGAATGGGAAGATACTATAACTGAAGGGCAAACCTTCGACACTTCCAAGTCGAGGACTTGGTATTGAGGAAAGTCACACTACATACCAAGAACCCAAATAACGAAAAACTGGGCCCGAATTGGGAGGGACCGTCCAAAGTCGCTTGTATATTCGGGAAAGGCTCGTACTTGCTCTAGTCTGGAAATGGTGTACAACTACCAAATAACTAGAATGTGGCACACTTAAGGCGGTACTATTGCTAAGGTA